TGAATATCTTTGGCATGATTTAAGTTGTCTAAAAAAAAAAAAACTGAGAAAGAAAGAAAATAATGACCAGTTGACGTTCGTAGCCTTTCCAACCCGAGCTATTAAGCCCTAGGAGTGTCTCTACACTTAGCACCCTAAAGCCGTCTGGTTTGGGAGTTGTTGGCCTAACGCTTGCTACAGGGGTTGGTTAGAAAGCTTAAAAGACTTAAACATTGCACGGTCATTCAAAAAAATTTGTAATAAACATGGTTCGTTGGAGTTCGTAGCCTTTCCAACTTGAGCTATTAAGCCCTTTGGAGTGTCTCTACACTTAACACCCTAAAGCCATCTGGTTTGGGAGTTGTTGGCCTAACGCTTGCTACATAGGTTGGTTAGAAAGCTTAAGGGACTTCAGCATTGCACAACCATCTTATGTTTCACTTCTGAGTTACAATAAATTGTCAACAAGTAACAAAAGTTGTCTTGTAAATAAAATCATGCCTTAGGGACTTCATTTAAAACGGAATTCAGTGATTTGAAAACTCGTGTCTTGGAATTGGAAAAGAAAGTAAAAGCCGCATGTTGAGAATCCAATCCACTTTCACTGAAGTTAGAGTTGATTTCCATTTAAGAGATGATAATTGAGTTATTTATATGGACTATGATGTTGATACATGCATGTTGAAATGTGTTTAGTATCAATGCTTCATATATGCAAGGTAGTCTTCCCAATGACCCCATCTCCAGTTCTTTTTCTGTTTCAAGTTATTTTTGAGCTATGTATATATCTCATTTTACCATGGATGATATTGTTGTAGTAGCATGCCCATGGTTGTCTTTTCATTAAGTTTTTTGTTGTAGTTTTGCTAAGGGACTAGCAAAATGTAAGTTTGGGGGTGTGATAAGCGCCGAATATTATATATTCAAGCGCCCCAAATTGCATTAGTTAAGTCCATCTTTTGATTATTTATGTAGATTATCTCCATTTCCATGTTTTTATGCATTTCAGGTTCATTGGCCAAAAAGAAGCAAGGTTGAAGTTTTGTTGTAATTTTGGATAAGAAAGGCACAATGCTGAAGCTTGGCAACAGTGGAACCTGACTTTTGTCGCCATTTTCGACCTAGCAAACTCAAGAACTGGACTTCCATCATAACATGAAAGATTTAGAGCTCTGAATCAGCTTTCCAAATCTTCAAGCAGTTTGTCATTCGGAGTTCGGAGCAGAGAGTTATGATCTTCTTATTAGAGGTGCTTAGAACTGCCTGGCAGCAATGAAAGTCTGCCTTGTTCTTCAATTTCAACCAACCAGACTTGAGAATTGGATCTCCACCAAAACATAAAGTTTTTAGAGCTCTGAATTAGCTATCCAAATCTTCAAATGTTTCATCATTCGGAGTTCAGAACGCAAAGTTATGGCCATTTTACCAAAGTAGGTCCGGGCGGAGCAAACCAAGCATAGGGCATTCTGGCCAATTTTTGAGTGCTCGAGGCCTTATTTCGAGTGCTCGAAATTAGGGCAGATTGCTTCACGAGATCAGCCACTTCTACTCAGAAATTTGCTAACTTTGTATGCTCTCTTTATGAGTTGGTTGGGGATGTTTCTTGGAGGAGAGAGATGGCTTTTTGGGTGGAGTAACATGTCTACAAAAGAGGGGAGCCACACATTACTTAGGATTATCCTTCATTTTGACAAGAGGGAGGAGAGAGAAGAGAGCAAAAGAAAGGTGTGTTCTTCAAGCTCCAAAGAGGGTGCACGAAAATGGAGATGAGGATGATGCTTCTTCCTTCTTCTAGCTCACCAATGGGCAACTAAACCTCATCTAGGGAGGTGATGAAACCCCTCCCTTGTAAGCATGTGTTAGTATAGTTTATTTTTGGGGATTACAATGTATTTTTGATAGTCTTTCCATGATCAAGAGCCTCATTTTTGTTGTAATGAATGTTGAATATTTATAAATGATTATTGTGAGTTATTCATCTTGTCTTGGATGGTTACTTTTCTTAATCATATTGCTTGCACTTCCATGGTGACAATGGAAGTTAGATCATGGAATTGTTTTAATGGCATGGAGTTGGAGAACCTAGATAGTTCATGGCTTAGGGTTTCCCTTTGATGGTCTATACTTGATTCTTAGCTTTATGTGCATTCACCATTTAAATTAGGGCTTGATAATCCTTGACTTAGTAAGCATGTTCTAAGCTACATTTTAGTTTAGGTAGTTGTTCATGTGAACCTTTGATGGTTTATTCTTGCCTTTCTATTTAAATGAACTTCTTGAGGATATTATAGCAACCTAGTATTGTTATGTATCATGACTATCATATATGTTGTTTTTCCCTTAAATTAATCTTAACCTAGCATGTGTATAGGGATGGAGGTGGATTCATTTCCCTAGCCTTCTTTACTTGTACTTCACTCCCTTGAATTCTTACAATTTATTGTTTTATGCACTTTTAATTTCCTAGCTTAAGTGACATCCAACAAAACCTCTATAAACCCTTTATCATTCTAAGAATGATTCTAGACATTTAGGTTGTATTAGACTAGCGCAGTCCCAGTGGTTCGACTTACCCGACCAATAGCCCTATTTTACAATGATTCGTGCTATTGCAAAGATTGATGTATAGTTAATCAACCGATCAATTCACATCTTCATCTACACCAACATTCACATCTTCAACCACATCAGCATCCACATCTTCAACCACATCAGCATCCACATCGACCGCATTAGCATCCACATCTACAACCACATTAGCATCCACAGTAGCATATTCATGCTCTAATTCATCATTCAGCTCATTTTCAGTCTGAGTTGCCCATTCTAGTATTTCATCATCCCAATTACAATCATCATCATGCACATCAACTTCAGGTTGTACTCCATCCTCCATACACTCATAACTTTCCTCTACATTTTTAGCATTTTCACCCTCAACACTGCCTTTTGAAATTATAAAGATTTTCATCAACCTGAACCTGTTATGAGCATTAATACATTTCAATACATCGTCATCTTTTTCAATTTTCTTAACTCCTTCATCACTTGCCACCATTGGATTCCTATAATACAACTCATAATTTTTTTCAAACCCAAGCTTGTTAGCCACCTCTTTTAGATGAAAAAATGATAAAAAATCCACATCAACATTGTCAAGTAGGTCTACCTCACCAATATATGACTTAAGTAGTGTGTATTGGAAATTACCTCCAAAATGTACTTTCAGTATAATCAACCTGGTAGTATTCATTGTCTGTTCAATCAAGCAAACCAAAACACATAAGTCATGGTGAATAAAAAATTCAACAAATAATAATTCCTAACCAATAAAGTAACAATATGCACAAACCCTAATCACAAAAAATAGAAAATTAATCAAATGAGAATCCCTAAGCACAAAAAATAAAAAGTTAAGGAAATAAAAATACCCAAGCAATAAAAAAACAATTTGCACAAACTCTAAGCACAAAAAAAAATAATAATAATAATAATAATAATCAAATGACAATCCCTAAGCACAAAAAATAAAAAATTAAGCAAATAACAATATTTAAGCAATAAAATAACAATTTGTACTAACCCTAAGCAGAAAAAATGAAATAATAATTAAATGAAAATCCCTAAGTATAAGAAATAAAAAATTAAGCAAATAACAATTCCTAAGCAATAAAATAACAATACACATAAACCCTAAGTACAAAAAATAAAAAAAATAATCAAAAGACAATCCCTAAGTACAAAAAATAAAAAAAATAATCAAAAGACAATCCCTAAGCACAAAAAATAAAAAATTAAGCAAATAACAATACATATACCTAAGCAATAAAATAGCAAAATGCATAAACCCTAATGTAGTAATGGAGCATTTTTTTTTTCACTGTTATTAAATATGCAGTAATGGAGCATATGAAGATAAATGCAGTAATGATCACATGGAAACAAACTGACATCAAACACAAGACATTTCCCACTAGACATCAAACATTTCCCACAAGACATCAGTCTAAAAATGATGTAGGAAACAAACTGACATCAAACACAAGACATGGACCATTGTGTATCACTATACGAAGACATAAAAGTAAAAAAAAAAAAGGACATGGACCACTGTCATTGACTATAAACTCTATTGTTAGTGGGGTCTATCTTCTTTAATCAACATAAAGCCTACACCAAACATTTCCCAAGTTCTAAAAAATTGCATGCATGTGTATTATATATACAAAAAAGAGAATTTTATACTAGGTCAAAACAGATTTTCAAAAACCCTAGAAATCAAATATTCGATTAGTACTGATTAACCTAAAAATATAACCATTAACATACAAAATGAAAAATAAGATTCATTTAAAATCGACATAAAGGCATAAAACATAATCTAAACTTATAAATTTGGAGAACTTGTAAAATCGAATCAAAGTTCGTGAAAATGACAGACTCAACAGGTAATACCACACGATGTAACGCACAATTGAAGAGAACAACAACACGATGTCGCGGACAATTGAACAGAACAAGAATACGATCAAAGTCTTCCACCCACAGTATGAAACCCTAAGTTTGTATCTGCGCCTCTAACTCTCTGTGTGTGTCTCTCTCTAACATAATCAATTAAATGAGATTTTAGGGCAACTTAATTTAGTAGGGTAGAATTGACATTTCACAATTAGTTTTTTATTTTTTTATTTATTTTTTATATAATTTAATAAGTAAGGTCATTTTGGTCATTTCAAATCAACAGTTGCCGGAAAGTTGATCCGGTAACTTCCGGGGGTATTTGCACACTTTGCCTAGTTAAGGGAGGTATTTGTCAAAAATTAGATAGTTCAAAGGTTTTTTTTTTTGTACTTTTGCCTTTTATCAAACTTGAGGGGGCTAGATTGTCCGAAAGTAGGACAACTAAGTTGGTGTACTTTACCTTGTTTTTTAAATGAAAAATTAAAAGAAAATTAACGGTGCAATTTTCCCATTTTGAATCGGCAGGGACAATTATTTATCTATAGTTACAAGAGAGAGGCTGAGCAATATTGTTTTATTTTTATAGTGAAACAAAAGAGTCATTCGAAATCACCAACCACACCTTTTCTTGTACGACGGCAGGCCAAAGCTCCGACGACACTCCCAAAGTTCCCAACACCAATATCTTCGACAGATTCTCTTTCTCTACTCTCTACTCTCTGTCTATATGCCTGTTTGAATGGAAGCTATCAGGAAACAAGCCACCAAGCTCAGGGAACAGGTCGCGAGGCAACAGCAGGTACTATCTATTTATCAGTTAGATTTCAAACCTTGATTTGATTCAAAAAAGTTTGATAGAGATCAATTTTTCATTGGTCGATGATGTAGATCCAGATTAATTTAACTTATTTTGTTTCTCAGTTCGCGTTGAAGTTCTTCAAATTTCTAATTTTGATCGATTCATATCCTCTTTTTGGTTCATGGTTTATACTATTTTTTGATTGTTAGTGTGTTGATTCGGATTATTTCTGTGTTGATTAGGTCACATTGAATGATAATCCCTCAGCACCGTGAGTGTAAGAATTGGATCTATGTTATGCATATGAATTCGGACATCACTATTTAAAATTTCTAGAATACTAAGCAGAACAAATGTGATTAATAGTAGGAGATGAAACATGAATCTGCTATACTATAATAGTTGTGGATTTCCCTTGCTAGTGGTGGCCACATTGTGTAACAAAGAAAATTTGAGTGATAGTCAACTAGATGGAATAAATGGTTTTAATTTTAGTCATGTAATATGGTTGTTTTCTGGTACATCGCATTGATACAAAAGGGCAATCTGAAATTGTAATTTGCTGAACTCCAAAAAGTGCAGAGGGTGCGGTATGTCTCCTGGGTGTCAACAAAATGATTTCAATCAAGGTCCATAAAAGTCGAGGTTTTATAGTTCATTTTGATAAGCTAGAGGGAAAGGAAAGAGAACAATAACATTAATTAGGGCATAAAAGAAAAAGAAATGAAAGCATAGGATAAACCCCTCTTCTTATATTCATAACCAAGGAAGAAAAAAAACAAGAAATGATAGAAATAGCCTTTCTTGTTTTGGAAAGAAAGCTGAAAAAAGAAGAAGAAAGAAAGTAAGGAATGTTTATCATATACTCCAGTAGAATGGGCAAAATAAAAACTCACTTGCTACAAAAATAGGGGCAAAATTGGCAGTCAGTAACTCCCTTGTGGCCTTATCTTTTCCCTCAGTTTCTGCAAATAGCGATAAAACTGCAAATAGAGATAAAACTGCAAATAGAGATAAAGCAAAGTCCTCTTATAGCAATAAGAAAAACTGAAATTACTCCAATGACCATTGGAGCCTAGATTTCTTGAGGGAAATTTGGGAAAAGTATGAAAAGAGAGGGCTTTTCCTTTTAAAATATAACTTCCATCGAGTCCTGATTTCTTCTAGAATGACTTTTAGAATTCCTAGACAACATTGATAACACTTCTACCACTTCCCTAGGCTATTGCTTAGTAGTTTTGAACTTTCATAAATACTTTTATGGAAACTGACATGAACTTGGCACTTCATTAAATAGAAAAACACTTTTCAGGTCAACATTAATTATTTGTATCAATCCTTCCTTCTTGAAGAAAAACTCGCCCTTGAGTAGAAGCAAATACCACGATTTATTAAAAACCTCAACATAGCTTTCCATCCTTCCTTTCTTCTTTTCCATACTCGAACAAAACATATTAATCTATTGTGTGAGTTGAAGCAAATTTACTATGATCTATTTTGATGGCGTTATTATCAATTAATATGGATAGCTATTAATTGAAGAGTGAATCAACTGAGACCGTATAGTAAGAATCAAGTCCTAAGCATAGCAGGATCATTCTAATCACGATTACCCAAATAGACCTAAATGGGTTTTTGATTTTTTATTTATTTATTATTATTTTTTTTGGGGGGGGGGGGGGGGTGGGTGTGATGATTCAATTGGTAATTCTCTTCATGCCAAATAAATAATTTAATTTAAAAACTCTATCGTCTGACAATTGCTTTAAAAAAATATAGAAAACACTGGAAAGGGTTGGGTGAGAAGTCAGAAGAGAAAGTGATAAGAGAAACGGTTTAGGGTGAGTAAATGAGGACATTAAAATATCAACAAAATAAAAATTGTTACTTCATGGCGGGTAAAACCCATTATCCCGCCAAAGAATCTCCCATTGCATTGGACCGGTGCAAAATGGTACTAAAAATCTTTGTTTTCTTATCATTAGTTTCTCTTTTTAGTTGGGTTATGGGGAGAAATTTTAAATTGTTGATTTTTTTGGGTTCCTTGGGTCCGGAGGACCTTTTATTAGGCTTCGGCCCTTGTACAGTTTCTGGGATGCGTTCTTCTTTTGAATGCTTTCTAATATACTTTAACTTATCAGGAAAAAAGACTACACGGTAAAGTGGTTTGTCTCATTATGTAGTGTTCACTTTTTTCCACATGCAAAGGTCAATTCACATTTACAGGTTATTCACATATTCAAGGTACTTTGAAATATAGTGGACAAATAATGTTACGATGAATGTATTTGAATGTGACCTGTTTGAGGAGTGAAAATTAATCCCACATGATGCTCATCTACACTAGTGTGGAAGAGGATCAGAATGATAAAAAGGGAAAGACATTTGTAATATGGTTTATGTGAAATATTAAGTTGTGTGGACATATATTTACAAAGTTATTTTGCATTGAAGTCATGTGAGTGCTTTTGTTCTAGTGGACAAGTTCATAGAAGTTGGCATGTGAAAGCAAATAATACTGTTCAACATGTGAAGTAAATGTGAATTGAACTTTGCATGTGGAAAAAGTGAACACTGTATAATGAGACAAACCACTTTATCATGGAGTCATATCTAATCACATGCGCAGTGTCACTTATATTCATTCCAATGTAGTTGTAAGGCCACTGCATAAAAGTTACTATGCATTCACGTGAATGGAATAGTATGTGCATAAGCTTTTCAACTGCACAACAAATCACGCTAAAAGGCAGGTTGTTATGCGACCTTTGCTACTGCATAGCTTGCATCACTACAATGAAATAGGCAGGTTGTTATCCAAGCTAAAGGGAGGGGGGGTGGTCATAGATTTAGAAAAGGACAGTAAAATAAGTATAGTAATGGGCATAGCCTGCATGACTACTTGATTCGTTGTAGCCTTTGCAGCTGCATAGCTGCATGACTACAATGAAAAAGAGAAGGTTGATGAGAGCTATTGTCCCATATTGGGGAGAGTAAAAGTGGCGGGAAAACAAAGATTTTTGGCACCATTTTGCACCGGTCCAATGTAGTGGGGGTTGCTTTGGTGGGATAATGGGTTTTACCCGCCATGAATTAACAAACCTTTTTTTTTTTTTTTTGTTATTTTAATGTCCTCATTTAGTCACCCATTCTCAGCCACTTTTACTCACCCATAGGGAGTAATGTTACAATGAATTCAAGGTACTTGGAAAAGGTTTTGGGCACACTGCAGAATTAGTCTTCTCAAATTAGTCTACTCCTTCACCTTGCCATATATTTATATTAGACTTGAGACAAATACAATAATAACCCTAGGGTGATATAACCAAAGGAAATAAAAACTCTAAAACATAATCTAACAAAAATAAACAAAAACTCAAGCTTGATTGATGTCAAAACTTAAACATGTATACCATCATACCATTCATTGAATCATGCTTGATAAAAATATATACATGTATATATTTATATCAATTTAAAGTGTGAAATAAACAAATAAAGTTTAGAGGCACACCAGATTTTTTACGTGGAAAAACTCCCTTTCAGCAAGTAAAAAAACCACGGGACGTAGTCCGGCAAAATAATCCACTATGAAGAAAGAGATGTACAACCTAGATCTGTTCAGTCCTTCGAACACAAGTTGATCCCTACACATAGTAAGACACCAAACCTTTATTCTTTGAAGATCTCCAGGTCATCCAAGTGATTGTCTACAACAATTAGTACACTCAAACACCACCTCTTCAACTTGAATATATTTCCCGCAACCAACTTGTCGTTTGTTGATTGTTTGGTTGATAGTCTTTGAAGCAACGCTTTGTAGACTTTGTATAGCATAACTTTAATAGTTACAACACCGTAATATCATCATGATCACCATGTCTATTGCATATGGTATGTGATGATAAACAGAAATAAAGTGCCCTCTATTGTCATAAGAATATCTCTCACGAGTATGTATATGTGAAGAACGTGAATATCTTGTGGAAAAATAAATAAACAAAAACTCTCTGTGAATGACCTAGTGAATTATCTAAAGTTTTTCTATGCACTTATGTATTCTCTTAGGCACACTAGGGTTTCAGTAAACACTAGTATTTATAGGCAATGCATCAAAAATTTCCAAAACACTCTAGGTATGAATTAACTTGGAAAACACATTTTGAAAAAATTCTGTCCACATAAGCTTCGATCGATTCGTGTAGGGTTCCTTCGATCAATCGATTCCCTTCCTGATCTAACCTGTCTATCGTATCTTCAATCAATGCCTGAATTGAGGTCGATTGATTGATCCTCTTTCTTATTTCGATCGATAAGTCTGTAATGCCTAGAATGAGGTTCAAAAAGTTTTCTTCATGCTTAAGTAAGATACAAGTTAGTTTTAGACACTTTGAAACTTGTCAAAAATAGTTTTTGGATGCATGTTTAAAAACTTTCCTTAATGTATAAGCAACTTTCAAAGTAAGTTTAAGAAACTTGGAAACTTAGCATATATAGCATGCATGCATGAACCTGAATGGTGATAGATGATTATATTGGTATGATATTACCTTAGGTCCTTAATATCCTCAGTTGACATCCTTGTCCTTTTGACGTAGACAAAGTTGACATCCTTGTCCTTTTGATGTAGCTTTCTTCAAGTCTTCACACTCAATACTACCATCTAACTTCTAATTCACTCATTAAAAGTAATATAGAAAATTACATTGCTGGAGTGACCTTTTGTCATACGAAAATTTCCAGCCTTAATACTAAAAGCCTAACATATTTAAAATCTAAACATGGCTTTCCATCCTTCCTTTCTTCTTTTCCGTACCTGAGCAAAACACACTAATCTTTTTTTAATGACACAGAATACATTTTCATGAACTTTCAGAGCTTTCTTTTGAAATGTAGTAGATTTCTAAAATTTGCTTGAACACAAATTTTGAACCAAGACTTGAAATTATTTGAGTTTTTCATTGAAACAACTCGTAGCTGTATTTTGCGCCAAGAATCCA